GGCCATGTCCCTTGCCTACAGAGATTGTTATTCTCTTTATGAATCTTTTAATTATGCAGTGCATCATATATGATAAAAACCCCAAATTCTTGGCAACTTTAGATGAACAAATCTTTATTTTAAACTGTTTAAATTTAATATTTAGAAACTCAACCCCCCTGAGTTCTTTTTGTGCCCAGTCTGTCACTTATCATCTTAATTACTGACAGATTCTGAAACAGGTGTTTCATAGTTTTTTCTTGAGCACTGCACAACTTCCCCAGTCTTGTATTTCCCTGTCCCATCTGTTTTTGAAGCATGAAACTGGCTCCAGCTTCGATGCATGTCTATTTTTTTAAAGGCTGTTTTTCGACATTTGTCTTTTGAGTTAAATTTTAAATGATTTGAAAAGTATTGTTGTCTGATTTAGTTTTCTATTTTACACATCTGTTTCTGGTTGGTATACAGCCTTTGAATTGCCAGTTTGTTAACACTTTCGGCTGTCTCATTGTATGACGTATATCTATAAAAAGAACCCTAATCGTTATTTTCTACTTTGTTTTACAGATGAAAGGATAATTATTTAAAAAAAAGACTGATGACTTATTACACTGTCATAACACCACTGAAAGCCCATAGTTAACAAATAAAGACCTGCAGACAGTGGGAGCTGGCGCAGAATACTTTGTCGCGCGTTAATCCTGATCTTGTTTAAATAAGGTGTGAACCCCTGATAAAATCGTCACAGGGGGATGATCCTAAAACTTTCTGCTTTGATCTCTGTGTAATAATAAATGTTCCACGATGAAATGGTGATACAAATACACTTTCAGTCAGCTACGCGAGACCAGAGCACAGTATAAAGTCTATTCTCTGACAGCACACTGTGGTATGATAAGGTAGTAAATCACGTCCCCCCCCAGGCTGGCAGGCTCACTGATGGGCGGCTCGGCTTGTCGCTGCCCGCCCTGTGGGTGTGTTTAAGGCAAATGGGCCTCTGCATCCACCTGCTAGCGCCCTGCCTCCCTACAGTCAGGAGCGCCCAACTTTCCGACAGAGCACACGCTACGCGTCTGGACACCGCGGGGACTTTTCTTGTGTCGAGCGGCTTTTCCCCCCCACGGGATGTTGATTGTAGTCGTGCGACGACAGCATCCAATCGACTCTCGGTCACGCACAAGGTTCAGTTAGGAACATTTTCTCCCTTTTTATTTTCGCGCAACTGTAATTTTTCTCATTGTGTTCACTGACAACTCCGGGGCCAATAGACACGCAGTGCGCACAGGTACAAAGTGCCCCCACCCCACCTCCACCCCACTCCTGAACGGGGTTCGACCAGAAAGCCGCGCCGGGATTTTCTATTGTTATTACTGCTTTCAACTTGGAGAGAGAGGGAGTGATCGATCTGTTGGAATTGGTTTGTTCAATGACTTGCAAGGCTGAACTTATATCCGGAGACCCGTGAGGTAAGCCTGTATGGACTGTTCCTTTGTGATTATGTATCTATGTATTTATTTTAGACTTTATTTCCTTATTATGAATATCACGCAACATGTTACCTGCATACAGGATCGCGCTTTTTTTTGTCAAATACTTGAATTTATGATTGGCACCACGCCTTACCGACTCTCTCATTTTCTTTTTGAAACAATGAAACAGAAACAGCAAATTATGATCATTATTAATTTCTTTTGATCGGAAAATCAATTCCAGCGCGATTCATTATCACTGTTTATTTAATAGCTGTGCAGTTTACCGTGCGCTCTAATACCGCACCAGACTGTTTACAGTTCTGTCGTCCATGTGTAGCCAAGACTGCCAGTCTGTTACACACATTTCAGCGTGTTTCAGCAACATTCAACATTTTTGCATGAAATTTGTTTTATTATTATTATTATGCATTGCCGAAGAACACATTCATACATGCACATGAATGAAGTTGTATAGTGTTTTATTTATATTTAAATACAATACAACACTGAGGAATTTCCCTGTGTCACGGTAACTGTGAAATGTTTTTAAAAAAATGTTTTTAATCGGCAGCAAATGCAGATGGTTATTTTCTTGTCTGCTGGATTAAAGCAGCGCTGTAGCCACTGAGCCCTGTCCATCCAGATTTTACTGGTTTCCGTCTGTAAGTTTTAATGATTGCGTTACATTTGTTCAACACATGTCAGTTAATAAACTGTGAAGAAGCTGAGCGCATTGACCTTTTCTTCTTTTAAGCTATTTGGACTAATATGATGTTCCCATGACTAAAAGGGTTTTTGTTTTTTTGTTTTTTGTTTTTGTAAACTTTTGTATTAATATTTCATATCACTGTCTATGGCATACACATTTGTATTTTTTTACTTCATGGTACGCTGTCTTTCGCAATCCTCGGTGTCATCTGTGAGCGGTGCCTTGTTTGATTTCATGCGCTTGTGCGAAGGAGTTGGCCTCTCTCTTAGAATAAACAGCTGGATGGTTTACAAATTGTAAACAGCCGAGGTTTAAACAGCTGCTTTTACTCATAAATTCGCTTCAGCCAACCAGTCTGAAGACTGTTCTGCTCTGTTGAGGTCTCTGAAGGTGCTTTTGAGGTGGAAATTCGTCCAATGTTTGAAGTGTCGGGTTTTTTGCGGAGAGGAGATACGCAGGCTGTAGGTGTCCGGTCAGTGAGCTCAGGGAGGCTTTATGGGAACAAAGGTGGAAAAGAAAAGTTTTGCAGGTAAAGAGGTAGCCTCATACACGAGTATTTCTTATGGTCAATCACATATGTGTGAAACATCAGCTGCTTAAAGGTGTCTATACTTCATTAACAATTAATGTCACCACCTTTTTTTTAGTTGTTCAGCTTTGAGGCTGTCATTACTTGCAGGCCTTTTTTATCAACAGCTAAGACCTGAGATGCATCAATCACAATGTTATTTTTGTGCTATTTTCCTTAAGTAAGTGTGAAGTTGTGGTATAGCCTGGCATTAGGTGAACCCAGTAATTACAGCGTGGTGTCATGATGCAGGAATGCATTCTGGTTGCGTGTAGAGGAGCAGAAGAAAAGCTTCAGTGGAGTCAGCGCGATCCTGCCATTATTTTGTCGCGCTCTGAAAAACAAACATAATTTTTACCAAATGGAAGCAATGTGCAAGTCTCTAAAAGTCTGGCTCCTTTCCATTGGGACTCATCAGTTTAATGAAGCTCCCAGAAATCTGGGCGTAAACTCCGCACCTCGGTGCTGTGTCGCCCAAAACTCGCAGTGTGATGGGGCCCTTGGGAGATACAGATTTGACTCGTCACATAAAATTATAAATGAAAAGCAGGCTCACGGTGGCAGATTCTTTTTTGGTTTTAAGTGTAAAGTAGAGTCAGCATCTTCTCTTCTCACGTGTTTCTTTTTGTCCCTGCAGATTTAAAAAAACAAACAAAAACAAACAAAAAGCAGCCTTTGGAGCTACAGGAGGTTGGTCCACCATGCAGCTGGACGGTCTGTGGACGGTCCACACCCTCCTGGCACTGTGCGGCTTGGCTTTTGGGAACCAAGTGAGCAATGAGCCACTGGCCGCGCCCCGTGTCTTCATCTCTTTTAAAGGTGGGAACCTGAACTGCTCTCTTCTACCCTCATCTTCCCTCTTGCTTCTAATTCTTGGTTTACTCCTGGCTTTCCTGTGTTTTAGTCAGTGCTGGTTTTTCCTCTGCCATGAGTTTGCTCACCGGCTCACTGATGAAATGACAGTTGTGCAACTGGAGTGATTGTGGCTTTGATAAGTTCTTGGTGGTTTTTCAGAGGAAGAACTTAGAGCATCACCAGAGCAGCGCTGCGCAGACCACAAACAAATCATGCAACTCTCATACGCACGCTGCCCCCTTTCCTCAGACCTCCAGGCATCGTAATAACCACCAGATGCTCCCACTGGCCTGTATTGCACAAATACAAACACGGAGCAGATGCACATATTGAGAAATGTGTACGTCTCGCTCATTTTGAGAGCATATACATGATTATTGTTTTAGTTAATCAAATGCGGTGTCTTTATCTTCAATCTTCTTTAGTACCGAATCTCTAAATTGGAGCCACAAAGAGAGATGGGATAATAAGGAGCATGTAATAACTCCATAGCCATTATGTGATTATTCTCTGGTGAAGCAGATGCACTTTGGGAGGCGGGGGGAGGTTGTATTTGTGCGTTCCATCGGCCATACAGATTAGGTGAGATGGTCTTCCGGGTTCTCCGGGGTGCAGAGTGAGAGAGAGGGTATTACCAAGAGCAAATTGCCAGGATCAGCCAAGCAGAGCGACATCCCCGGGGCCTGTCCTGCTCGCAGATCAAGCCTTTGATTAGCATCCAGAGAAAAGCTCGGGGAGCAAGCGGCAGCTCCCCTGTTTGCTTTTGCTTTCTTCGTTTCCCAGCGCTCCCTGGTAGTACAAGTTGACTTAATTAAGTGGACTGGCACAGTTCATTGTCGAAGGCGTTTTCCTGCTTTAATCAAGTGGGATTTAACACACCAGTGAGCTCACATCCCGAGTTCAGCAGTTTTTTCATTTTCCAGATATCATCTTAGTCAAAGTGCTGTGTTGTTTTAGAGAGAACTGTGTAAATTGTTTGTGTGCGTGTGTGTGTTGTTGTTTTTTTTACTCTATAAGCTGTTCTGTGTCCAGTGAGCTTGTGTATAGGTTCATCTTTGGATGGCTGAACTTATATATTTGAAAGCGACAGACTACAGGCGCTGTTCTTTGGCTGACAAGGAAAAAGCTGGGCGCTGCTGCTTACCTGTGTATGTTTGCCTCTCTAGTCAATATGAATTTCACAGTCTACTGCTACTGCCTCTCTCAAAGGAATGCACCCCCCTCTCCATTCAATATTATGACTCCCTCTGCCTTAATTGCTTTTTGAGAGGGGCCTTGTAGTCCTTACCTTGGCAAGCTGGCTGCACTTCCCCTGATGCATCATGATGTGTAAAGTTTTTTGCTTGAGCTGTTTGGGAAGGCGGTTTGCCTCTGAGCGGCGGCATAAATGGAACACAGCTTGAAGACAAGTATGGGCAATATGCAGGTTTTTTTATGGTGAGACTGCAGGAGGGTATGAGTTAATTTTCAGGTCCCACTTCATAATTATTGATCATTATGCCAGTGAGTCACCCTGTGAAGAAAAATCTTAAATTGCAGCTATAAAGCTGCTTGTCTGTGCTGAACTAAACACATGTTTCAAACTGATTAACTTGGTAGCAGAGCAGCGAGGTTAAGAACCATGACCTCCGTCTGGGAGGCCCTCACTTCCCTATTAAAGCAGGTAGAGTAAATCATGGGACCTAATTGCTTTTGCCTTTCCTCCGTGTCGCGTGTGCAGCTTTTATAGCAGGAAAACACGTTCGGCGATGCTAAAATAACCCTCTCAGTGTACTTAGAGGACACGGGAAGTTGAACAATGTATCTGCTCATATGCATTTGATAAAAGATTTGTGTTTGCAAAATCGAATGGATAAAAAGTCTAACGGATAAACTTTGCAAGTAGACTTTGTTCAGGATTATCAGCTGAGGAGAAAGGGCAACTCTGGCTGAAGAAGCCTTCCTCACTTTAAACAGCAAAAAGCTGTAGTCAGTGTCAGATGAGCAAATTGGGGACAAAGCAAAGCCATAACAACTAACCAAGTGACTTTTTTTTAAGTCGACTGGCTTGATAGACTCATATCAGATAAGTAGCTTATTTACACAGTGAAAGTTTTATATTAAAATATCTTCCTGTATGGGGACTGAATCAATTATGGTTTCAATAACAGTGTTTAGCACACAGTAATGCACGTTTTAATGATTTTAATGGAGACATGCACCCTGTGGAGATGAAAACCTGTCTATTTTAATAATCACTTTCTGGCATCTTTGAGCTAAGTTATCTTAAATAAAGCAACCAGTCTTTGTTTAACACCAGATACAGAACAGTTTGAAAATGTGTCCATTAGTGAAGTGATGTGTATGTGCTTTACCCTTTTCTCTGAGACTCCCAAGTCACGCAAGATCTGAGTTTCAACAGATCTTGCGTTTTTAAGAGTTACATTTTTTCTTTTTTTTTTATCTTTTAAATGTTCTGCTTATATCACGCTGTGTTCCAGAAAACATGGCATTTTCTAAATGGGCAAAACACTCCAGGGGGAGGGAAAAAGTCATGCTGCTTCTGTTGGCCCACATTTCTGCTATAACATGTTTCAGTTCCTGCATAAAGTAGATCCAAATCTAAATCCATACTAATGGCTCTGCTATTCTGGGCACATGAACTTTAGCCTCATCTGGGCTGCTGTGAGTTCATGCGCTTAAAATAATTGCAGAACATCACTTAGGCTGTGCTGTGTTCTTCAAATGCTTTAAATGCAGTTGTTGACATAACGGGCGTGACCGGTGATTACGAAAAAAAAGAGAGAAGAAGAAGCCTTTTAATGTAAAGTTTTTCTTAGTCTGCTTAATTGCTAAGGCAGACGGCAAACGTCAGCTCAGAACAAACAGAGGCACGGGGTCAAGAGTCTCCATGCAAATTTTCACTTTGAAAAGTCAGGCCAACATAATCTACCGCTGAGGGTGGAGCCATGTCTTGCACCACAAAAGAGCACTTCAGAATTATCACCTTTTGGAAACAAGCTTCTCACACTTATCTTCAGCAATGCCACTCTGGCCCGTCAGTGCAAGTAAAAAGTCCTTTAAATGCCATAACATCATCAGGATTACAGCACACTAGCCCCCACCTCCTCCCTCTGACTGCGCATGAGGCCAAAGCCACCGGGATGACGGCAGAATGTGGGTCAGCTCCGCTACAATAAACAGGCTCGCCACAGGCAGTGCAGGTGGCAGTAAGAGAAAGCCACTCTGGCTCATCATTAAGCCACATATTTCTCATCTGCACGCCCTCCTGTGAACGGCAAACAGCGGGCTACTATTTTTACCCCCCAGGAAAGTCTGTAGTCTATATTGGGTGAGAGTGCATGTGTGTTTTGGTGGGTGGGTGGGTGGCAGCGTAGAGGGTTAGAAACTTCCCTTTGAGGTTAAATGCCAGGCATTCTGGTATGTGTCAACCCGTGTTATGGGGTGGTTATGTTTCTGTTTAGCTTTTAATTCCATCGAGTAACAACAGATGAGGATCAAATCTGAAACTGTCATGCAAAAAGCAGCGTAGCAGGGAGGTAGCTGCTTTGATAAGTCAGTAGTTTGATATCGCTTCGACTCTGGGCTCGGCCTTTTACAGCCAGCCTGTCACTTGTCTAGTAAATGTTTAAACTGTTATTGCTGTTGTTCACACAACACATTCCCATGGTCACTTTCTTCTTTGGAGCTATAGATTAGTGGCCCGAATGAACCCAGGCTTATCGGCGTGCATGTTTGAGTCTGAAGCCTTAAGTGTTTATTCAGCATTGATTGTTTCAGTGACAAATGCAGTTTAAACTTTTGATCTTTTGTATTATTACTTGTGTATTTGCTGACTGTAATAACAACCTGCAGCTTCCCTTTCAGTTTCTTGATGCACGTCTGACTTGTTTCAAGCATACTGGTAGAATTTCACCCTTGCAGTAATATTGCAATGGTGCCCGACCGCATGCAGAAGCCACGAAACCACTGACCCTGTCGTCTGGGGCTGCTGCTGATGTTTTGCTGTGATCTCTAATTACTGTTTGCGAGGCCTGAGTCCATATAACCCCACGGCAGTAGAGTAATGACTGAAAAAGCACTGAAAACCACTATTACTTTGGCCACGTCCCAGACCTCAGCTTGTCTCCACAGCAGCTAAGCTCAGTTATATTTAGTGTAAAACTCTCTTCTCCCTCGGCAGCCACACAGAAGTCATTTGTGGCGCTGTGGTTAACCACTAAACGCAAACGGCCAAGTGGTGACGGTGGTTTAAGTGCAAGTGTAGCTTGGTCCGGAGCAACTTGCGCTCTGCTGCGATCCAGCTGTCAAAAGTGTCACTTAATTGTAACGTCCAACTTGGCCTGGAAACCATTGACTTTTAATTTAATGGAGTGGGTGTAGAGAAGAGTGTGTATATTAAAGCAAAATGAGGCTGAGCCCGAGCCCGGTGTTCCAGGAAACGGTGTTAATCCTCCGCTGCGATGTACATGACTTCAAAACATTTGTATTTGTAACGGCCGCTCCTTAAACTTTATGGGGAAAATTTGTCTCTCATTTATAATCACTGCTGAGGACTTTAGAATTCACACATTTGTTTTAATTTATGGACATAACTTCTATAACTTCACGCGTGTGATGAAACACATTAAGTGGGGATTTGTGCTCAAGCAATTAAAAGCTGAGTTCATGTTAAAATAGGATGCAGCTCAGCCTGAAATCTGTTTATCTCTCTGGCCAAGCTAATTTCTGAGCACAGCATGGTTTATTTTCACTTCATTGAACTTCATTTAAATCTTTTCAGCAGTTGGCTTAAATGAAATGTGACTGCTGGTCTGCAGCAGTCCTCATCCAACTTTAGGCATGAATGCTTGTCTGGTCACAGGTAATCAGTGAACGCTTCACAGCGGTATACGTCCAACGGCCTCAGACTGAGAGGTCAGACTCTGGGATCGATTATCTGTCTGTCTCTGCACCCCTGCAAC